GAATGAAATTAAAACTAAGATTCAACTATTTGTTTTAGAATTTCTCTCAAATATAAAACAAATCCCCAAATTGTATTTTAAAGAAAAACACAGAGATGATAAATCAAACCAATAAGTGGATATAACCCCTACCAAAACTAATTCTAGTCAAATATATTTGACTCAATTGAATTATTACTTAGTTCAAGTTCAACCATATACTTCTCAAATTTGTAAGTCAATACCTATCCTTTCTATAGACAGTTCCGACTTTAATAAAAAATTAAGAGAATCTCCAATTTATTTCTTAAAGGATTATTGTTCATGTTATTTTACTTTAGACTAATATAATTAGTATAAAAAATAAACTTAAGGTGTTTTGTTAAAACAGTTGAAATTATATAATTATTGTATTGGAAGATCAATAAAATTGTGTGGTATTGACTTACCCTTTATTAAAAAACATTTACAAAAACAATGCTCTTCAAATAAAATGCTATTTGGGAGTTCAACATTTTCTAATGAAATACATCCATCGAAACAACAATAAGGGATTAATGTAATAGATGATGGAATAGTAAGACTTTTTAAAGAAACACAATCCTTAAAACTAAATTTTCCCAATCTTTTGATATGTTTTGGAATTATTAATTCATGTAAGTCTTTGTTCTCTTTGAAACAACAGTCATCAATTCGTTTGACACATTCATCATTTATAATATTACTTCCAAATAGTTTAATGTCGTCGCTTTGAAGTACAACATTTGAACATAATATTCCAATATTCTCAAACTGTTTCATTTGTTGATAAGTCACTTCATAAGGATACTCTTTTATATTTACTCCATTAATGTTAATGAAGTCAAGAGAAACACATTTACCAAATGTATCAAACTCAATTTTGATATTATTATTTTTAATGTTAACTTCTTTTAAATTACTACATCCATAAAATGCACCATCTTCGAGTATTTTTATATTAGATGGAATAGATAAAGATGTTAATGACTCACACCATTTAAAAGCAAACATTCCAATTGACGTACACTGGTTTGGAATATTAATCTGGCTTAGTGAATAGCATCTAAAGAAACAACAGTTAGGTATTTCTTTAATCTCATCACTTAATTCAACTGTTCTTAAATAAAAGAATGAGTGGAACTCAAATGGGCTAATAGGTTGGTTGATCTGTAATGATTTGTAAGAATGAAGGTTGTCTTTAAAAACTGAACTTTCTTCTTCATTTATTGTGAGCCTTCTTCCATATATTAACTCATCATTTTCATTCCATTTAATATTTGAAAGAAAAACTCCTCGTGCTCTCATTCTAAGAGAAGAGTCATAACTAACAACCATATCATCTAAACTTCCATCAATAAGATTAACCCTTTCTAAAGAAGTCATAGAATCTAAAATCCATTGTGATGATGAGATAGTATTCTTATACAAGGATAATTCCTTTAAATTACGAAGAGTGGATAAGCAACAAGGCACAAATGATGTCACAGTAGATGGGACTGTTAATGAGGTTAATTGGTTATTAAGGAATGAGATATTATTGAAATAAATCACATTTGGAGGTATTTCATTTAATTGAAGGGAAGGAAGGAAACCATAAATTAAAACAGAACAATTATTAGGTAGTTGTGTTAATGAAGATTCTTTAGAACCTAATACGACCTTATTTGTTTTAATATTATTTTTAATATATCTCTTATATTCTTCATAAGTTATTTCATTTTCTATCACAAAATCTTTATTTTCAAAAGTAATTTGTTTTAAGGATTGACAATCTTCTAATACATATGAACCATAACTTTGAACAGAAGATGGAATAAATAAAGACTCCAATAATTTACATGAATAGAATGAATGATCTTCTATTCTAGTTACTGAGTTAGGAATATGTATTTCTTTAATAGAATAATAAGAAAAAGAATCTTTATGAATGACTTTTAAAGTTGACGGTAATACTATTCTAGTAACATTTTTAATATCTAAAATACTGATTAACCTATCATCTGATAAAGAAGAAAGTACTAACTCTTTAATATTAATATTATCAAATAAATACTCTGCTTGAAAAGAAGTAATTGATGAAGAAAGATAAAAAGAAGTAATATTTGTTGGTATGTCTATTCTTAATTCTTCAATTTTCTCAGTATTATTATCAAATATTATTGAATTTGTATTTTGATTGAAATGGAATGAATGTATTTTTGCCTTAGATAAAATATGGTTATTCTTAAGAACATCATTCTCATGATCATTAGTTGCTGACGGGTAAATATTATTGATCAATGGAAGTTTCATCTGAACTAATGAATCACATCCATCAAATAAATGTTCTTCTATATAACATTGGTCATTATGTATAACTAATCTAGTAAGGTTAAGACAATTACTAAATGCCCCCTCCCCTATATAACTGACACTTGATGGAATGTCAATTTGTTTTAATGCATTACACCAACTAAATGCTCTCGTTCCAATTTCTTTTAAAGAAGTTACCAAATTTATTTTTGAAAGACGCAGACAATTAAAGAAAGACTTATTTCCAATACGTTCTAATGAAGTATCAAATTCAACTGAAATTAAATTATTACATCTTGAGAAACAATCATTAGGAATTACTTTTTGTCCATAAAGAATAACAGAAGTTAATGATTCACAAGAACAAAAACAATTCTCTCCCCAATGAACTACAGAACTAGGAATAACTATCTCACTAATACTATCACAGTTTTCAAAACAATTATTCCCTATTTGAGTTATGGATGATGGTATATGAATTGTTTTTAAAGCTCGACAATCACCAAATAAATTCTCTGGTAATACCTTAATATTAGTTGATAATGAAATATTACATAAACTAGTACATTCATAGAAAATGCTATCACCAAGAACTTCAACAGAATTAGGAATTATTAATTCTTTAAGGTTTGAACAAAGACGAAATGCACATCTTCTAATTTCTGTTAGAGAGGTAGGGAGATAAATTGTTTCAAAATCACAACTTTCAAAAGCATAATCATCAATGATATGAATACAATCTGGAAGTTGATTTCCAATTTCTTCATGGTCATGAGAAGTAAATTTAATACGTTTCCATACAACTCCAAAATTTTGTTTTTTAAGAAAAGTATGATAATCAATACAAAAATCAATAACATAGTTTTGAATGTCATTAAGAATAAAATCATATTTAGAAAATACACGTTGTGTTTGAATACATTGGAATAATTTTCTTGAAGACCTAGTTACTTGTATTGTATTAGTTCGTAAACGGTCTAACACTTCTTTAAATTTAGAATTTACTAAAACAACGTTAATAAAATCTTCTTCTTTCTCAAGATATTTTAAAATAATTTGCATTGAATAGACATCAATTTTCTTCATGATTGAATTGATCTTTAAAGTTTTTTGTCTAATTTTTTCTTCAATCTAAAAATTAAAAATTTCCATACCTTCTTTTTCTTTTTCTTCTTTTTAAATTCTTTTTTTCTACTACCTTTATCATTTAATCATTCTTCTTATTATTTAAATTTACAGATAAAAAACCAAATTAGATAACAATATCATTTTGATATGAATAGTAAAATAAAAAAAAAAATAATCTTTTTGATAAATAAAAACATTCAATCTAAATAACAAATATAATTAATGAAAAATTAAAAATTAATGAAAAAATAATATTTTTAAGTTTATTGCAATGCAATCATAAGATGCTCGTTCTTCTATAACTTCAATTCCTAGAGAGTCTCTTTCTCCTATTTCTCATCGAAAATCATCTATTTCAGTTATTCAACCTATCCCTAATGATTCTTTTGTTCTTCCTCCCCTCACCTCATCTCTCAATTCACAAGAAAATCAAGCTCATACCAATACAACCCCATCACCTAATGACGAAATTTCTTTATCAGAAAACCCTTACCTTTTATTAACTGCTAATGGTGATATTATTCCAAGTCCAACAAATCACCAGTAATTTGTATTTTAAATATGTTCTTTGGCTTAGACATTTCTTTTTTACGAAAATATTCTCTTTATAATATTTCTTTGATTCAAAATAAAAAAAATATATTCAAAAACATCTCAATTTTCTCTTTAAAGTAGTAAACATCCTTTTTTCTTTTCTTTCTTAGCTTTTTTCTCTTTTTTATTATCAACAGGTGCGTTAAGTTCAATAAGATTCTTAGCAATATCTTCAAACATTTCTTTCACTCCAGCACCTGTTTTAGCAGAACATTCATATACTTTTGAAATATTTAATGATGTTTTAATAGCCTCAATTGCAGATTCCTCAACTTTCTTTTCCAAATCAGCTTTATTACCTACAATACATGTAAAGAATTTATCATCAGAAACAAATCTAGTAGTAAACCCAATGAAACTACGTACACCTTGAACTGTGTCTGGTGATGAATAATCAAATACTGCAATACTTGCTTTTGCTCCTGAAAAATCAGATGCAGTAGCTTCAACATCAAAAGCAAGATCAACAATATCAAATTTAATTGTATGATTATTTACAGTTATTTCTTTATTAATCTACTTTATTACTTGTTTATTTAAATTAAAATATAAAATAAATACCACAAACATAAACTCCTTTAAATTGGTTTTCAGGTTTTTCATCACTCCAAGTATCTTCTACAAACCTTTTCAATATTGAAGATTTTCCTACATCATTATCTCCCATAATAACAATCTTAAATCTTGATCTACCAATTATTCTTCTATCAACTTTGTCTTTACATTACTGATTGAAGAAACAAACGCCATCTTTTATGAATATTAGTTTCTTCTTTTTTCTTTTTTATATATTTATCTTTTATAATAAAATATAACGTAAAATATATTTTTATTAACTTCTCCGGAATTTTGTGAATTATTACTTGTAATTTGTTATTTCTCTAAATTTAGAAATATTATTAAAGGATTTTGTTGTTAGAACGATGTTTTCTTGAAATTTAAGGATTTATTGTTAGACATTCATAAAACATTACTCAATTATAATTGAAAATTATGTTAGTGTCATTTCTGTTATATATCGAATTGCATCCATACTTTTATTTATACCACTCTATTTTTAAAAAGAAATTATATTTTTTTTATTGATTAGTTTATTTATCGTTTTTTTCTATGTTTTTAATTTATCTATTTTATGTTTTATTCTTTTATCATTTATAATTTGTTGTTTGTTACTTTTCTTGAATTATTGTTAGTTATTTTTATTTCATTCAATTACTCATCATTACTTTTTATTAACACTATTTTTATATTCTTTTTGTTAAAAATAAAAAATACGAAAACAAAAAATAGTAAAAATGCTTATTAAATAAAAATAAATAACACTTATTTAAACTAGATTGATGATAAAAATAATGATTGACTTGATATATTAATAATGTATATTTAACTATTTAAATATTCTATATTTTGAACTTATATTTAAATTAATTTAAAATGGAAGAGTTAATAAACAGGCATA